GCATCTTCTCCTCCCCCTTCCCCCTCCTCCTCGACCCCCTCCTTGGCTCCGCCGCCAATGGGTAGCTCGAGGTCTGAGTCCTGATTCTTGATCTCTTTACTGGGTATGCTTTAATTTTTGATTTTTAATGAATTTCTGTGATTTGGCCTTTTTGGGTAATTTTTTTTTGTTGTGATTTTTTTGTTGTAATTTTTTTCCGCCGGCCCCACTCCTCCATCGCCGACTGCCGGCCCCACTCCTACTCCAGCCCCATCCCCTCCCTCTCCCCCCTCCTCCGATGACCTAAAGGTGAGTTCTAATCTTCTCAAACTTCCATCCTAAATCCTTAGAAGTTTAGTTTTTGATGTTTTATCAGTAAATCGAATGGCGAACGAGATTCGATCTCAAAAGGAATTATTTCTAGGGTTTTAAAATCCGTCAAAGTTGTTTATTTTACCTAAAATTTTGGACTCAGGAATCTAAATTAGAGTTTGTTTGTTTATAGTGATTTGAAGCATTAGCTTATTTTTTTTCACAAAATTCTTAAAAATTTTTTGGGGTTTGCAGTAGAAATGAAAGGATTTAACTAAGGAGGAGCTAGTAAAGTGTTCCTTGCCAAATTACAAGCTTGGGAAGACACTGGGTATTGGGTCATTTGGAAAGGTGAAGATTGCTGAGCATGTTTTGATTGGGCATAAGGTCGCCATCAAGATTCTTAATCGGCGCAAGATTTAGAATATGAGATGGAGGAGAAATGTATATTTTGATCATGGGATGGTTAATCCTCAAAAATAGTTTTTAGATATTTGTTTCATTATAATTTTCCTTAGTTTCCCAGGAGAAAATGATACTGATGAATGTTCATTTTGAACGGGTATTTACCAAATCATAATGTTACTACAACATGCATGTGTGCAACAATACTAGTGCTAACTCCCGTGCATAACAACTAGTGGCAACCTGAATATTATGATGTGGTTAAGCAACTTTTGGACACATTGTTTGTTAGTAGACGGTTTCCTGCGATATGAGTGATTTACTTACAGCTTTAGCATGCAAAGAAAAGCCTTTTATGTTTGTTTATCATGTGGGATTATCTTAACTTGTAGAAACTTTTATTGGATGTGATTATCAATGAAAATTTGAGATAATCCCCTTTTACGTTTGTGCCCTATATGTGATATTTGGTATATTGTGTGATTTATGTGTTGTTATGTGATATTTTGGTATTTTGCGTGACTAATGCTGCTGTTATGTGATATTTTGGTATTCTGTGTGACTTATGCTGCTGTTATGTGACATTTTGGTATTCTGTGTGATGTATGTTGCTTTTATGTGACATTTTGGTATTCTGTGTGACATATGCTGCTGTTATGTGATATTTTTACATTCTGTGTGATATATTCTCGTTACCAGTTACATAAGATGCTGCAGTTTAAGTGTTATGTGATATTTTTACAGATATAATTGTTGCTAACATGCATATTTTTTCATCAAGACGATCTTAGAGGGAAGGGAGACAATAAATATTGAAGCCTTACAAAGAGAGTCTGAGATGTTAGGAGCATGACTTGCTGCTCAAATCATATGCGAACGTGGTGAATGGAAGTAGTTGCAATTGAAGTTAGATATTGACGATCCAGAATATCTTTTGTACTTTGGGGGTAATGATGTACCATTGATTGAGTGGAAGTATTAGACAACCACACGTAACTATTTTATTTGTTGGATGTTGGATGTTTACTAGCTGTTTGTAAATGATAAAATGTGTATTTGTAATTTATTGGTGATCTTTGTTCTTTAGCATATAATACGTTAAGCAACACTTGAGGCAAAACCCATCGCTCTAAACTTCAATTTATAATACTAAACAAGATGAAGTACACATCTAGAATACACATCTAGAAATATATCTTTTATTTGAGGTACACATTTAACGTTCACATATAATACGTTAACGTCACATATGAGGTCTCAATGTCACATGTAATACTCAAAAGTCACAAATCAGATCTAAATATCACATATATGTATTATATGTGAACGTTAGATGTGTACCTCATATAAAAGATATATTTCTAGATGTGTACCATTCTAGATGTGTACTTCATCTTGTTGAGAATTATAAATTGAAGTTTAGAGCGATGGGTTTTGCCTTAAGTGTTACTCAACGTATTTCAAAATTATTGGAGTTTGCTGCATACAAGTATACATTTAATTGTCTGTTATGTGTGACTTTTACTCGTCTCATGTGGCAATACTCTATTATACGTGACTCTTATCTGTGTTATGTGATATTTTGCTATTATTTGTGACAGTTGTTGTTTATATGTGACATTTATCTGTTATGAATATTGAAGCCTTGTAGAGGGAGCCTGAGATTAACGTTGATCCATGGACAACAAAATCGAATAGCTATCTATGTCCTAAAGCAGAATTCTTTCAACAAAATTGCATGAAGGGAAGCACTCTTGAAGTATCGCTGAAGGACATAACCGAGTCATGTGCACTGAACCTATCCAAGACTAACGTTTCCTGGCAGAATTCAAACTCTTTTGTGACTGTTGTCTGTTACATGTTACTTTTGATATTTTGTTGTGACATTTACTACTTAATTGTGACATATTACCTGTTCGTGTGCCTTACTGGTATTAACTGTGACACCTGTAACAACTTTACTTTCAGATTCCATTTAATATGCTAAACAACAAAGATCACCAATAAATTACAAATGCAAATTTTATCATTTACAAATAGCTAGTAAACATCCAACATCCAACAAATAAAACAGTTACATGTGGTTGTCTAATACTTTCACTCAATCAATGGTACATCATTACCCCCAAAGTACAAAATATATTCTGGATCGTCAATATCTACATTCAATTGCAACTTCTTCCATTCACCACGTTCGCATATGATTTGAGCAGCAAGTCATGCTCCTAACATCGAATAACTCCCTTTGTAAGGCTTCAATATTTATTGTCTCCCTTCCCTCTAGGATCGCTGCTCCTAACATCGAATAACTCCCTTTGTAAGGCTTCAATATTTATTGTCTCCCTTCCCTCTAGGATCGTCTTGATGAAAAAATATGCATGTATGCAATAATTATATCTGTAAAAATATCACATAACACTTAAACTGCAGCATAGATAACTGGTAACGAGAATATATCACACAGAATATAAAAATATCACATAACAACAGCATATGTCACACAGAATATCAAAATGTCACATAACAGCAGCATACATCACACAGAATACCAAAATGTCACATAACAGCAGCATAAGTCACACAGAATACCAAAATATCACATAACAGTAGCATAAGTCACGCAAAATACCACAACACATAAATCACACAATATACCAAATATCACATATATGGCACAAACGTAAAAGGGGATTATCTCAAATTTTCATTGATAATCACATCCAATAAAAGTTTCTACAAGTTAAGATAATCCCACATGATAAACAAACATAAAAGACTTTTCTTTGCATGCTAAAGTTGTAAGTAAATCACCCATATCGCAGAAAACGTCTACTAACAAACAATGTGTCCAAAAGTTGCTTAACCACAGCATAATATTCAGGTTGCAACTAGTTGTTATGCACAGGAGTTAGCACTAGTATTGTTACACACATGCATGTTGTAGTAACATTATGATTTGGTAAATACCCGTTCAAAATGAACACTCATCAGTATCATTTTCTCCTGGGAAACTAAGGAAAATTATAATGAAACAAATATCTAAAAACTATTTTTGAAGATTAACCATCCATGATCAAAATATACATTTCTCCTCCATCGCATATTCTTAATCTTGTGCCGATTAAGAATCTTGATGGCGACCTTATGCCCAATCAAAACATGCTCATCAATCTTTACCTTTCCAAATGACCCAATACCCAGTGTCTTCCCAAGCTTGTAATTTGGCAAGGAACACTTACCCAATACCCAGTGTCTTCCCAAGCTTGTAATTTGGCAAGGAACACTTTACTAGCTCCTCCTTAGTTAAATCCTTTCATTTCTATTGGCAAGGAACACTTTACTAGCTCCTCCTTAGTTAAATCCTTTCATTTCTACTGCAAACCCAAAAAAATTAAGAATTTTGTGAAAAAATAAGCTAATGCTTCAAATCACTGCAAACAAACAAACTCTAATTTAGATTCCTGAGTCCAAAATTTTAGGTAAAATAAACAAATTTGACGGATTTTCGAACCCTAGAAATAATTCCTTTTGAGATTGAATCTCGTTCGCCATTAGATTTACTAATAAAACATCAAAAACTAAACTCCTAAGGATTTAGGATAGAAATTTGAGAAGATTAGAACTCACCTCTAGGTCATCGGAGGAGGGGGTAGAGGGAGGAGATGGGGCCGGAGGAGTCCCGGCGGTCGGCGGAAAAAATTTACAACCACAAAAAAATCACAACAAAAAAATTTACCCAAAATTGCCAGATCATAGAAATTCATTAAAAATCAAAATTTGAAGCATACCTAGTAAAGAGATCAAGAATCAGGACTAGAGGAGCCGAGGAGGGGGAAGGGGGAGAGGAGGAAAAAGTGCAGATGAGGATAGAGGAGGAGGGGAGGAGAGGAGGAAGATGAACTATTTGGGAAGAAGGGTAATTTAGGAATGTTTTTCTTGGGCAATGGGTTTGGGGCTTAGTTGCACTTTTTTTTTTTCACTTTTAGGGGTTTATGGTTATGATTATTGGACTGGGGGTGAGGATGCATGAGCCAATTTATTTTGGTTCCTTCAAGCAATTTTCCCTTATATTAATTATTATATATAGTATAGCATGCTAATATAATATAATATAATACAATATAATAATTAATAATAATAATTTGTAAGTATAGTATAATATATTATATTTTAATATAAAGTAAACTAATATTTATATTATAATATTATACTAAATAATATACTAAACCATGGATAAGTTAATTTATAAGTAATTAATAGATAAAATTATATTTTAATAAGGTGTCATATCATCAATTATCCCACATGAATTGTCAAATCAAAGGCTCAAATTATCTCATTATCTCACTTTATCCCACTTTACCCCACTCAAAATATCCCAAAGGGGTAAAATTATTCTATTGGAACAATTTTCTCACTTGGCCCCAATTTGTCCCAACCAATAACCCCCTTAGCTCCTCAAAAAATCAGCCCCCCCAAATCAGATCTGAAATCTCCTCTCTCCCCTCTCCTCTCTTCTCTCATCCGCCCGTGGTCACTGCCCGCTCGCAGTCCCTCCCGTTGTTTCCCGCGGGGATCTATTGCTCTGTCCCGCAACGGTGCCCGCGCCCCAACCCATCGTTCTCCTGCCCGCCGCGCTTGCCTCGTCTTTCCCTCCATCCCAGAGGTCCGTGCTCTCCTCCGCCCGCCCGCCCACCGTCTCCACCAGCTGACTCCTCACCACCCCTCGGACGCACTCTCCTCTCTGCCGCCCGCATGCCTTGGCCACTCGCCCACCCTCGACTAGCTCAGATCTCCTACTCGACACCGCTCGATAGAGCTCAATCGCCGCTCGATGCCTCATCTAACTCAAATCGCCTCCTTGATGTTGCGTTGCCAGACGCCACTCAGATCCCCTCTACAACTCATATCCCCTACGATGAAATAGATTTATCGAGGGAATGCAGTGCGGATTTGAGGTCGAGACGAAGAAAATGTGATCGCCATTTAGATCCGGTTGTTTGATTGTGGAGATTATGACAGCAATAGAACCAACTACTATAGAGGTCAAAGACGGAGTGCTGTTCCCATAGCCTAATGACTTATTTGGCGGAGACCCGAATGATATTAGGTTTTGGTGTTGAGGAATATGATTAGAGACGAAGAACTAAAATCACCAATGATGTTAAGTCCCTCTCGGCGGCCCCTATTAAGAAATGATATAGAGGTCAATGATGTTAAGTCCCTCTCGGCGGCCCCTATTTAACTAAAATCACCAATGATTAAATATATGAAAGTGAGAATATCATGATCGTATTCAAAACATCTAAATCTTTCGACATTATCCGCCAGTCAACGTCTCTCTTTATTGAAGTAAACCTTGTATACATCAATTAGCAGGTTTGTTAAATATATCAATTGGATGAACGGAAGCAACTTCCACATGCAGGTTTATTAAATATATCAATTCGATGAACGGAAGCAACTTCCACGACCTTTCTTTATTTTTGACTATTTTGACCCACATCTCTATATATACCTATCTCTTAAGCTTCTACGATATACCAAGAATCTCATTAGCCTTCCTCCAATCCGCTAAAACAAATCTTTCAATAGTCTGCCAAAAACCTAGCTTATCAACACACAGCAAAGCAGAAGGCATGGAAGGCACAGTTCGTTGCTCCGCAAACTATGTCCCTCTCTCTCCGCTGAGCTTCATCGAGCGGTCTGCGGAGGTTTACTCTGATCGGACCTCTGTTGTTTATGAATCCATCAAGTTTACTTGGAGACAGACCCGAGACCGCTGCCTCAGGCTCGCTTCAGCTCTCTCACACCTTGGCGTTTCCCGTGGCGACGTGGTAACTATAATCTCCATCTCTCATATGCTCCATGAATATATGCGTTCTATTTTTGGAGTTTTTCTAGCATGCATCACTCTTCTCATAGTGTTAGAATATCGCAAAATATTTCCTTTTAGTTATTTTGAAGTAACATTCACAAGAAGAAGAGTGCCTCTGGTTCTAGTTTTGGAAATTCTTATATTCATTATGACAAAAGATGAAATAAATGAAAAACGTACCTATGCTCTTAATCTAGTTGTAATTCTTTATAGAGTAATGAATGTCAGCTCCACGGTTAAACACACAAATTTTTAACATGATCGCTATGATTCTTGGGAATGAATCTCACATTTTTGAATGCAGAATCTATGGAGAGAAAGTAATAATATCATTCCTAATAACTAATTATAGACATTCTCTGCAATTAAGGTCATAGAGATTTGTACACTGAATCTTCTTCTATTGCCGAACCAGGTTGCCGTCCTCGCTCCAAACGTCCCAGCCATGTACGAGCTCAACTTTGGTGTCCCAATGGCCGGGGCAGTCATCTGCACCCTCAACGCTCACCACGACGCAGCCATGGTCTCCGTCCTCCTCAAACATTCCGAAGCCAAGCTCATTTTCGCCGACCACCAGTTCCTCGAAATCGCTGAAGATGCCATCAACCTCCTTGCACAATCCAACTCCAAATCCCCTCTCCTCATCCCAATCCCGGAACCCTCTGAAGACTCCTCTCATTCACCTAGTTTAAACTACGAAAGCCTCATAAAAAACGGAGACCCCTGCTTCGACATCAAGTGGCCGATCGACGAGTGCGATCCTATCGCCCTAAACTACACATCCGGCACCACATCCAGGCCGAAAGGCGTGGTCTACACACACCGCGGCGCCTACCTCAACTGCATCAGTGCCATTCTCTTTAGTGAAATAAGGACTTTGCCTGTCTACTTATGGACGGTGCCCATTTTCCATAGCAATGGTTGGTGCCTAACCTGGGGCATAGCGGCACAGGGCGGGGTCAACGTCTGCCTCCGTGATTTCACCGCAAAGACCATCTTCGAGAAAATCACCAGGTACGGAGTTACGCACATGACCGGTGCCCCTACCGTCCTCAACATGATGGCAAACTGTCCGCCTGCTGACCGACAACCGCTCGCAGCTGGCCAGAAGGTCTGCGTCATGACGGGTGGGGCTACCCCGCAACCACCAGTCTTGGAGAAGATGGAGGAGATGGGATTTAAAGTCGTCCATGTGTACGGACTCACGGAGACCTACGGGCCCGCGACAGTGTGCGAGTGGAAGCCCGAGTGGGACGAGCTGTCGGTGGATCAGCAGGCAAAGATGATGGGGAGGCAGGGAATTCGACATATCGGAACGGAGGCGGTCGACGTCAAAGATCCGGAGACAATGAAAAGCGTCCCGGCCGATGGGAAAACAATGGGGGAGGTTATGTTTCGAGGCAACACGGTGATGAACGGATACTTCAAGGACTTAAAAGCCACGGAGGAGGTTTTTGCAGGTGGATGGATGAGGACAGGGGATCTCGGGGTGAGGCATGCTGATGGGTATATTCAGGTGAAGGATAGGCTGAAGGACATCATAATCTCCGGCCTGGAGAATATAAGCACGATCGAGGTCGAGTCGGTAGTTTACAGTCACCCGGCGGTGCTTGAATCTGCGGTGGTCGGACGACCGGATGAGTACTGGGGGGAGACGCCGTGTGCGTTTGTGAAGCTCAAGGATGGAGCTTCTGCTGATGCTGAGGAGATTATAGGGTTCTGTCGAGGTCGGCTGCCGGATTTTATGGTGCCCAAGAGCGTGGTTTTCGGGGAGCTGCCGAAGACTTCGACGGGGAAGATGCAGAAGTTTGTTCTCAGGGAGAGGGCCAAGGCTATGGGAAGCCTATTCATGAATGGCGGCGGGAAAATGCTTGAAATATAGTATTCTGAAAGTAATTGTGGATACTGTACAAATGAAGAATTTCATTTGTAATTTGATTTGTTGAACTAAAAAATAAATGGAAGTCTCAGCAATGATATGGGGTTGAGATCTGATCAATGTATTATGTTTGTTACATATGAACTTATATCTATTCATTTTAAACGTGTTCCTAATTAATTCTTCTCAATCTTCTAAGAATATTACTAATCATTTCTTTTTGAAAAATCTTGTAAAATTCATATTCTGTGGTTATTTCAAACTTATGAACTCACATTTTAATTGGAAGTTTTATATTGCCGGGTACTAGTGATCTCCTTTTCCGGATTCACAAGAATATGTTGAAGTTGGAAGGCCTCCAATCACTTTCAAAGGTCATGGCTAATCTCTCCTTTATATAGAAAGAGAAAAAGATGGTTTGTGATTAAAGCCTCCCCTTTTAAAACATTGTTCACGTGTCTATTTATCTCATCTAAGAAAATGATGTGCGGACGAATAACTAATTCTATCCAAAATGGTGTTAGTTTAAAAATAAAAAAATAGGGTAAAACCTTTAGTTTATAAGCAAAAAACTCACTATCATTTGCGTAGTGCAAACAAGTAAAAAAAACTAATATTTTAACCATTTCATTCAAAAAATAAAATGGATGACCATTTAGAACAGAAAAATAGTAAGTCCCAATTAAAATATTACAAATTACCTACATGATTGTTTTAATATAAAGTATGTTTATAATTAATCTAATGGAGGTTTTTCTATTATGTCTAAGACTAATTTTAGAAGTGTGTGGTTTTAAAATAAATGGGGGTAAACCTTTTAGAAAGTGGATGACTTTAACAATGGAAGTTGAACTTTAGGCAAAATATTTACCGTTGAAGAGTGATTGATGAGTGTAAAAATTTTTGGGTTTAAAAATTATAGGTAAAAATCTTTTCTGGAAGTGGATGGGTTTTAAAACAAGTGTGGGTAAAAGCTTTGGGCTCATAGGTAAAAGCACTTTTTGGAATAGGGTGGGTTAAAAAATTGCTTATTTATATGTTTATTTGCAGATATACCCCTTACATCATGAATATTTACAAAACTACCCCTCAAATCATCAATTTCGGAAAAAAAATTCCCAAATTAATCAATCGTTAACTTTAATGGGATGATTTGTAACTGAATGTAAAATTCATTAACGAATAATCTAATTTTCACTCACAAAGTTGATAATTTACTGATTTTAGGGCAATTTTCCCCCAAAGTTGATGGTTTGGAGGGTATTTTAACAAATACTAAAATTTAATCGGTATTTTTGTAAATACCCATGATTCAAGGGTATATATACAAATAACAAAAAAAACTAAGGTAGAGGGCTGCACGGTAGTGTGTACAATATCTAGCTACAGTGCAAGCTTATTCATTAATGGCGGCGGGTAAATGCTTGAAATATAATTTTGTGAAATATTAATGGGTACTGTAATTGAATAATTTCCTAAGTAATTTGACTAGTCAAGGAAAAAACTAAATGCAATTCTCAGCAATGATATGAGACTGAGATCGAATAAGCAGCTGATCGATGTATAATGTTTGTTACGATAAAAAAAAAGTATGATGTTTGTTATATATGAACTTATATCTATTCACTTTAAATGTGTTCCTAATTAATTCTTCCCAATCTTCTAAGAATGTTACTGATTACTTCTCTCTGAAAAGATCCTCTAAAATTCATATTTTGTGGTTATTTCAAATTTATGAACTCACATTTTTATATTGCTGGGTATTAGTGACCTCGTCCTCCGGATTCGCAAGAATATGTTAAAAAATGGAAAGCCTCTGATCACTTTCGAAGATCTGCCTAATCTCTCCTTGATATGTATAAAACCCCGTAAAATTTGAATGTATTGTGATAAATAGTAATCAAGATGTTATATGATAATAAATAACATATTTTGATGTTTGAGTATGCTAGGAATTGATTTGAGATCAATTCAAATAAATAACATATTTTGATGTTTGAGTATGCTAGGAATTGATTTGAGATCAATTCAATGTATATATGTGTATATACAAGTGCAAATGCAAATCTGGTGAAAGGACCATTTAAGAGTTTATGTGTTTTACACATTGATACAGTAAGAATCTGGGAAACCTCAAAAGACCAAAGTTGTAGGTCTTTTCGATAGCTTTCCAACAAATTTTAAATCACCACATTCAAAGGTCGTATAACAAAGTTACAGTCAAAAAACGCAGTGCATGTTGATATTTTCGGAAAAACAGGAAATAATTTTCAAAAAAAGGAAAAGTTACTGTAGCAACTGCGAAGATTCTTCGTGGACAACAGACTCCGTGTTTTCTGGCCGTGAGCGGCGTTGCGCGGTGGTGTGGGATGACGAGCTTCTCTTTAGCGTAATTTAGGGGATTGATTTGTAGTGTAAAAATAAAAACAAATGCATTTTATCCTCTTCATGTTTCACCTCTAAAAAAAAGATCAAAAGAAAAGAAACTGAGAACTTTGAGCTCTCTCAGTTACGAACAGTAACTCCTCATCTTCTCCAAGTGATCTCTGACCATGCTCAACACCCCAAACCCTATATCAATTTCCAAACACACTACAAGCCTCTCTTCCTCCTCTCAAAGATCCTATGGTGAGTTCTGAAAGCTCCTAAGAAGTCCCTGTGAAGTGTTGAAGAAGAGAAACAAATTGTCTCATGTGCCATTGGTGAAGAAGGAAGCAAGGGGCGAGCGTGTTCAAGAGGATCTCGTACAAACGCTTTTCATCACAGCTTTTAGCCAAGATTATCTCCTATCCAAACCTTCCCTATAAATTAGTTCAAGATTTAAAAAGTTTAAAAATGATGTTCTTCATGCTTGAGTTTAATTTGTCATGTTAGAACAAAATAAGATTTTGACAATAAATTTTAATCAAATGCTAGAACTGAAAATATTGTTTTCCTTAATATTGCTAATAGATTTATGATCGTGATCATTGGGAAATTTGGAATTTATTTCGTTTATTAATCATGTTAAAATCGTGTAAAAATCAAGAAAAAGACTAATTTTGTCGTTAACTCTAATTAGATAAATCTTGAGAGTTCATTTATTGCTAAAAAGAAATATACATATATATATAAATTCTGTTGTAAAATTATCAAGTTTGATGATTGAATGTGTTAGTATGTGATTTAAGATCAAAATCAATGAGTATATATATATATATATA